TAAATTACTTTGCAATAATATATTCAGCGATTTGTACACCGAATAATTTTTTTATAATAAGAAATATATATTTTAATTTTCATTAAATATTTATATAATTCATTATATATTTTAATCTCTTCATTAAATCTCTTAGTCTCAGAATCAATCTTCTAAGAATCCATGATCCAAAATTTAATCCAAAATTTCTGTTTTTATTTGTAAATTAGAGTGCAATAATATATCGATTTGTACACCGAATAATTTTTTTATAATTATAAATATACATTTTAATTTTATTCAAAGAGCTTTGATAAGTTCATAATCATCATCCCCTCCCATAAACTTCATTTTCATAATGAAATCTTCAATTTTTATATTTCTTCACTCAATCTCTCAGTCTCAGAATCTTCAATTTTCTAATTTCAAAGAATTCATGATCCGAATTTAATCCAAAATTTCCTTTTTTATTTGTAAATTAGATTGCAATAATATATGGATGATTTGTATCAAATAATTTTTTTATAATTATAAATACACATTTTAATTTTATTCAAGGAACTTTGATAAATTCACAACCATCATAAATTTCATTTTCATTAATTTTTGAAATTTTCAATTTTTATATCTGTCCATTCAATCTCTCAGTCTCAGAATCTTCAATCTTCTAATTTCGAAGAATCCGAATTTAATCCAAAATTTTCTTTCTTATTTGTAAATGAGACTGCAATAATATATCGGTATTTTAATTTTATTCAAGGAACTTTCACAACCTTCCCATAAATCTCTCAGTCTCAGAATCTTCGATATTCGATAATTTCGAAGGATCCATCATATCCAAATAGAAATCCAAAATTTTCTTTTTTTTATTTGTAAATTAGACTGCAATAATATATCGGTGATTATACACTGAATAATTTTTTATAATACTAAATTATATTTTAATTTATTGAAGGAACTTTCACAACCCTCCCATAAATCTCACCACAATCTCTCAGTCTCAGAATCTTCGATATTCCATAATTTCGAAGGATCCATCATATCCGGATGGAAATCCAAAATTTCCTTTCCTTTTCTTTTTTTTTTTTCAAAAAATTAGCCGACAAGTCTCAGCCGATTGCGCGGCCTTTTGGCCCGAAAGTACGCACAATTGTGCGCGAAGTGAAGGGTAGGCCTTGTAGAAAGGAACTTCCCGTAGGCCGTATATCAACCGTTCAGCGGAATAATTATTTATTCCATCGAACACGCCGTAAGTGGTGGCCGCCTGCGTCGAAATCCATTCCCGCGGAATAATAATTCCCATTCGTTCGTTCGTTCGTTGCTCTCTCTCGCATATGTCTCTCGCTTATTTCACGCTCCTCGATCACACGTGTTGCTGGAAAAAAGAGAGAGAGAGAGAAGAAAAAAAATTGGAAAATATCGTCCGCGGATATATATATATATATTTCTCTCTTTTTCTCCCCCTTCTTTCTGCCTCGTCACACGAGACAAAGAAGGTGATAGATAGGTGAGATTAATATTCGATCAAAGGGGCGAGCGTCACGAGACATAGATCATCCGTGAATGGAAATTGATCAGGGGGGAGGTGGTAAAGGGTTGAGGTGCATTACTGATTCTTTACTCGTTTGCTCTTTTGATTTTCTTCTGTACGATGCTCTGCGAAATTCTGTGTTATTTTATAGGGAGAGGATGATGAGGGGGATGATTCCACGCGAAACAATAAAGTATGGAATAAAATTTGTGAGTGGATTAAGCTTGGAAGTATTTCAAATATTTCAAATACAAATGAGAGTTAGTTATTATAGTCTCGATTTTTTGAATGGACTATTGATTGGATAATTATTTTACTTAAAATAAAAAAATATTTAATAAGGAAATTTAATCTTTTAGATTTAAAAGAGAAATTTTTTCTTTTTTAAATATTATAATTTTTTAATCTTGATATATAATTGAAATAAATGTGTAGAGAAGAAAGCGAATGAATATGATTTGAATGAAATTTATTTGATATATTTAAAAAAAATGATAATATCGAAGTTGAGAGAAGAAAAATCGTATCGTGAGATTTTTTCTATTTTCTTTTTTTTTTTTTTTTTTTTTT